GCTTCTCTCTCACTTACCAACTTTACATTTCCCTGTATGGCCCCGGAAGATGACTGGTTAGCCAGAGACGGGTAAGATTCCTCAAGGGAGGAACAACCTAAGACAGGCACAGTCGCAGGGGGGCCATCAGGTGAGAATTTGGGGACCAACAGAGGGGAGGCGCAGAACCTCACCCCCCCTGCTTTGAGAGAAATCTTCTGCATCTGTGGATGTCTTGCTGCCCTTGTCTAGCCTGGATTAATACTTAGTCCATAGGCACACACCTGATCATCTGATCATCTACATTTGCCCTCTTAGGGCACTAAACTATGTTTTCTACCTTTATCTTGCATCTACCTACCACTTCAGCATTTTATTAAAAAAAATAATAATAATAATAATAATAAGGGAGAAATGTAGGATTCACATTATAAATCAAGTATAAAAATCAAACAAATAATCATATTTGACCTGATTGTTTATAGTTCATGATGCATGATCAAAACTGAAAGTTTCTGTGATGACTGCCCTTGCACTGTTCACCATGTAAGAACTTATTCACTATGTAAGAACTTGGTCACCATGTAAGAACTTGTTCGTTATGCTTCAGAAGATTGGAGACTGTTGAGAATTAGGCTTGGGATTGATTAACGATTGTGCATTGAGTCCCCTATACAGAATTTTATTGTTGTTAAAATAAATAAATAAATAAAATTATCATTGAAAAAAAAAATTCAACAGCCAGACAAAAAAAAATAAAATACATTAAGAATCACCTTTTCAAGCTTTCCAAGGACAACTGTACTTGCTAAGCCAGATGGTTGCAAATACATCTCTCCAGATACTGGCCTTGTTATTGAAAAGCATAGTTGCAAAATGTATGCAAATAAGTCACTGTGTCTGCATTAATGATTTACTGTGGAATGGTATGATTCCACATTAGTTTAGCCATATACAATTAGGTCAAAGTGTTTAACTTGCCAACAGAATGTAAAATGAGGTCACATGTATTTATTAATACCCATTTTAAGAAAACTGCAACTCCCCATTCTGCTTAACTACAAGAATTCCAGGGTCTTGACAAACTCCTCTCTTTACTATTTCTGGAAATCAGGACCCTCCTACTCACCAGTCCACACTCTCTGCGCACAGGCTGTCCAGAGCTCTGCCACAAACCACCTCCTACAATTCCTGGACTCCCTCCAGCTACTGCTGCCCACTCCTGTTCTGCTTACCCCCAAGCAAAGGCAGAGGTCCTTCTTTTAATTTTCTGATGACACTTCTCAGCCCAACTGCAACCTTCAGGGAAGATGTCTCTGAAAGTTCAGGAAATTGGAAGGAGGCATTAAAACCACAAGTACTTCACAGCTGTACTGGATGTGGCTACTCACAGCCCAGGGCTCTTCAGACTGGGATTCTCCTACCTGGGGTACATGCCTATTTCTCAGAAGATAGGAGAATAGGGATCATTTTTAGGAAATCAGTTTCAGATCCTCAATTTCTACATGAACTGTTTCCCAAATGAATCTCTGAGAAGGTTCTGTTAGTAGGTTAAGCTGCTTCTTTCTACATTCTCCTTTAAGAACTGCTATCCTCCTACCTAAAAACAAACTCACTTCTCACCAATAAGTTTACATGGTGTATTCGGAGATGGTTTCCCATAGATTTTTCATGTTTCTATGGGTCTTGAGAGTGAGGCATTAACTACCCTCAATTCTGGACATTCTCTCAGGGATGTTTGTATCCTTGTGACATCCTTGAACCCAGTGTATCCCTCTAACTAGATCAAGAATGGACAAGTTTAATGTCATGTGTTGAATTATGTCCCCTCCCCCCAAAAATGTGTTGAAGTCCTAATCCTCAGTACCTCAGGATGTGACTTTATTTAGAATAGGGGTTCTAGTTCAAATTTAATTACCTTCTGGAATTATCCCACAGTTTTTAAGACCAGCAAAAGCAGAATTCATCCACTAGGGACAAAGTCAAAGTCCCAATAACGAGCTTCATTTCCCAGATCAATGTCAAGTGCCATCTGACATTTTCCTGCTATTGCTATTACATGTCTAAGTGATCCTCTTTCAGAATGCACCCCAGTTCAGTTGTCTCTCATGATCCTCCCTGAGTTCTCGCATCACTCAGAATCGTACCACCAGGTTCTGACATTAGGTAGATGATCTTAGGAAACCCACATCTGCTATAATGGTCAGTAAGCATGCCTTCCACTTGCTCAACTGAGACATTATTATTCTGGACAGCGAGTGTATTCATTTGCTAGAGCTGCCATAACAAAGTGCCACAAAGTGTTGTTTAGGTAGCTTAAAACAATAGGAATTTACTGTCTCTCAGATGTGCAGGCTTGAAGTCAGAAATCAAGGTGTTGGCAGGACTATCTTATCTCTGAAACCTGTAAGGGAAACTTTCCTTGTGTTCCTAGCTTCTGGTCTTGGAATCTTTGGTGTTGACTTAATAGCTGAATGACACCAGTCTCTGCATTTGTTATGGCATTCTCTCTGTGTTTCTCGATCTTCGCATGGCTGTCTTCTTGTAAGGACACCAGTCATATTGGACAAGGGGCCCACCCTACTCCAGTGTAACCTCATCTTAATCAATTACAACTCTTAACACCCCTGTTTCCAAATGAAGTCATATCCTGAGGTACTGGGGATTAGGACTTCAATATCTTTTTGGGGGGTAGGGGACATAATTCAACCCATAACACTGTAGATGGTACAGAAAGGGAAACCTATGGTGTCCCTCCATTTCCTAGCATTGATCTCTTACATATACCTTATGGTTTTAAATTTAAAGTATCCCAGAAACAGACTGTATTATCAAAAGCAGATTGAAAAAATACTCAGATAAGTCAAAATACTTGCATTTAATAAAGCCTCGTAGATTTACATGATATCAAGAGAAGTCACCAAAGGCAGAAGTGCGTATCAAGCCTGTTTCTTCCTACTCATTCCCTCTGGACAATCAGTTTAGAATTTATTCAGGCAAAAGGCCATGAAATAATTGCATTGCTAACAGGAAATTGGTAGAAAAAGTAGAAAGGGGATTGCTAAACTCTACCTACATGGCTTTCTTGCAGAGTCACATGGAATGCTTTTTTCTCTCTTCGATGGGGGCAAAAATCTATTAAGCTTTTACTTAAAGGAAAAATTAAACCAGAATAATGTTTTTATACAGATGAATTATAGCAGATAGATTAAGAATGACCTTTTACTTAATAATTTAAAAAATATAGGAAAAATGCACTTGTAAAGTTTTTTATTCTGAGTAACTTTTCTTGCCAGTCTACTAGATCACACAGCCCTGATTGGCTGTAGTTGGTTAACCGTCCTGTGTGCTCATGAAGTGGCTGGACTTAATTGTGATCACCCCATTAGTGTCAATACTGAACTTTTCCCCTGCATGTGTTCCTTCCTCACTGCCTGAAAAAGACTAGTTGTGAAAACAATCAAAGTGAATGCTTCAGATGCTGCTTTCCAAAACTGGGTCAGAGACCACTGGGGTATGTGCTGGCTCCCTGAGGCATGGGAAAAAAACGACTAGATAGAATTGGTGAGGGAGAGGAAGGAAGGGAGGCAGGTGGGGAGGAAAAAAGCAGAGAAAAATAGGCAACAATTATTGAGAGAAAATCAACCACGAGGAAGAAATAAGGGTAGGTCATAACAATTACATAAAAAAGTGTCCAGTGGGAAGATAAAAAATGGCTGCCTTGTTTCAAATTCAGGGCTAAACCTAAAAAGCAGAAATCTGATGAACTCCTCTTTAATTCTTTAAAAACTCCTTGTCTCTCCCCAGTATACGAGCCAATAAACTGCCTACGTAAGGAGACGCAGCGAGGTGAATGACATAGGCACTGTGACCTAGCATCACAGTATTGACCTTTGACTTGACGTCGGAAGGAGGCCCTTCCTGCTTTTGGGTTGTGGCTGATGGCGGGTAACCGAAACCGCGGAAGGAAACAGCAATAAAGGAGGGACTACTTTATTTCACACTCCCCAAAATGACAGTCAGATACCAGGCTGGACCCAAGAGGACAAAGCTATGGAAGTTCACCCCATGTCTGAACATGAACGCTCCTTGGCCAACCTGCCGGCAGACGCAGTACGTGTTGAGCATGCCCTTAGTAACTCATAAAAATCGATCAAGTTGTGATTTAGAAACAACTTTCAAAATACACAGTCTGACGAAAGAATATATGTGCATTTACTCTTCCAATTAGCAAAACAGAGTTCACAGGTAGTTTCATATCTGAATTTAGAGGACGAATCTGACTACAATAACTTTCTTGGCTTGAACCAAAATATGTCTAAAAATATATTCACAATTCAAGTATGTTCTGGGTAATTTATGTATTGTATATGTTTTATTTACATTCTTATCCGTGTTCCACTGAAGCATTTGTTAGTACACAGGAGACCGCATCGTTAAAGCTAACACAGGTTTTATCTAGGAAAAAAAAATATGTGAAGGCCAAGGAGTATTTTTCAGCTTCACGGCAAAACACAACAAAGGAAGAAAAATGACTTAACTTTTGCGTTCCAATTGTTTTTAATTTTTTAATCTAAGTTCAGTGTTGTAAAATCTGTTCAGATTTTTATAGAACCTGGGCAAATAAAATACAGAGGTAAATCACCACTTTCTATTTAAAGCAAACTGGCTTTTACAAATCATGACTTTTATATTTTTAAAAAAGAAAAAGGAAAGAAAAACATGTTCTCCCCAGGAAGTCGGCCAATGGGTTCTTCCACCAGGTAGTTCAGACGGAGGGTGGGCGGGCCTCCCACACTGGCTGGAAGGGCCTCCTATGGTCTCTGCAGCTGCCAGCTTGCCTGCTGTGGCTGCCCAGTAAAACAGTGGCTGTGCAATCAGAACAGGACTAATCTGATCATTACAAGCTTTGAAGAAACTATCAGATAGTAACAAACTCAATTACTCTCTGTGGCTTATTTTTTATTATGAATCAATACCTAGAAGTGAAGTCCTCCACAGCCCATTATACCTTCCCTGATCCATCTACTTTCCTAGAAACACCCACTCAGGAGAGTGTTAAGGCAGTAAGTGTTAAGATGTTTCACTGCCTCTAAAAATAATTTGGAGGAGACGGACATGAAACCCAAGTTCAAACGTGCTTCAGTACTGAGTATTCAGCACAATACTCAGGTATAAAGAGGTCTTTTGAATGCACACTTGATTTTTAGCAAGTACAAGGTATTGAGATCTACATTTTGATTTTATAAAAGTAGGCTAAGCTGCATGAATGTCTAAAAGTGGCTGAGAAACCAAGACTACATGCTTTTTCAGCCTAAAAATAATCAGGGAGTGGAGCCAAACATGAACGTGTATTTCAGCAGACAGGTGATAAACAGGAAGCCAAGCTGGTAATATGCTGAAGAATGAAGAACCCCACCTAAGGGCTTATACTGACTTGAAAAACAGAGTGACCAGTTCAAGTTTTATAAGGGTGAAAACAAATGTGGTTAAGTGTGTGGATCACACCAACAGAACCCTTGGCTATTAAAGAAGCCACAAGAGTCTTCTGAACTGTTAAAACCTAATGTTTTATTACCATTCTCATTCACCTTAAATTTCAGTAACTGTTAAGAAATTTCTCACGAAGACCCTAATTTTGGCATCAGAAATACTTATTTGTCGATCAGAAAAACAAAATGAATAATTTCATATTAATTTGTTAATTTATGAGATAGAAAACATACAGTCCTTGATTCTAAAAAGGCCATTTAATAGCTTATCTCAATTACTTATCCTGGAAGGAGAGGAATGGAGAGGGCGTTTGGAATTGCATTAGAACACAATGTTTAGAATATAAAACATCTGGAAAGAAAAATCAAAGGCCCATAAGTATTCAGTCTACATGAAATTCAGGAATACAGGAGAAAATACTGAAGTACTTTGCTGTACCATGAAGACACACAGTAGCCATGATGGCTTTCCAGGTTACCTTTTGGGTACTTAATTCAATTGGCCTTAATTGCTTACAATATTTGCAACACAATTAAGTAGGATCTGTCTTTAATTTAGCTCAGAAAGAGGCATGAATAGATGTAAACTCTAATCACAGATCACTGTAGATCATTAGAGCAATTAAGAACATAATTTTCAGTCTTGAAAACCGTCACGCAAATCACTTGCTAACCTTTGGATCCAGGTTTCAGGCTTGCAAAAACTTTGGGGTTCTTAAGTGCAAGTGAGAGTTCATTAAGGAAGGAAATAAAGTGGGAGTCTCTTTCAGATTTCTTTGACTCGAAAATGACGACAATGGTAAAGTGAGGTTCTGGGCGGGTTAGGAAGTAGGTGCTCTGAACTTTGTCGTCATAGAAATGGACCACTTTCTCCAAGCTGTTCAGGTCAGATGTGCGGTCCGTCATGATCATGATGACATTGGGCCAGTGCATGACAGGCCTGTCACTGGGCAGAGACACCACGGCTGGGTACTGGTCCACACCCTTCGGGGCCTCTCTGTAGGAATGGGGATGGTGATAGCCATGACCCTGAAAGCTCTCAGAACCTTGGTTGTCAAAGATTAAGGACACGTTGGCAGCGTCATATTTCCTGATGAAGCTGGAAATCTTTCCAAAGAAGTCTGGGTTGGCTTTTGCAGTTAACGTTTTCATTTCTGAGGCAGTTGTTTGTCGGCTCAGTGCCTCGTGAAAGTAAAAGCTAAATTTGGCAAGAAGCATGTTTTTGAGTTTCATCAGCCAAAGGAAAAGGTGTGGGGGCTGAACAGCCTTCTGAGACTGCCCTCCGAACAGATGTTTTTTGGTCTCCCGCTGCTTTTCAAAGATCTGACCCCAAGTCTGCAGCTTGGTGTGAGCACTGTGTAAGTTAACCAGAGATGGGAGGAACTTCCACTCCGAGACCTGAGCCTGGGCCTTCAGGAGATGACTCAGGACATCGACTTCCAGCTGGAAACTACTCTCCAAAGGACTGAGGATGGGGTGGTGAAATCTAAAGGGGAAAGCGAAATTAATAGAAATAAGTGGAAATGTTACTCCATGTCGGCATTTTCTACCCTCAAAAAAAAAAAAATGTGGTTAGAAAATATTTCATTTGGGGGCAGGGGAAGGAAAGATGGAAGGATTCCATGTTGATTTATTTAAAATGTCACTCTGACGTGACTTCACCATTCCAGAATTATGTCAGCATCATGTTCTCCTGTGGAAGCAGCCTGATGTTTAAAAAAATGAGTAGTGGCTACCTTCTTTCCAAATACAGGGAAATTAAATTAGCTATAAATCTTTCTTATTTTATTTATTCTCAGACTTGTATAACTAACATTATCATCAAAACACGGCACCTCTTTTCAAGATGCGGTCCTAAAGAGGTGGAGGTAAAGATAAGGTCACTAAAACCTCTCTCAAATGTGTGTGTGTGTGTGTGTGTGTGTGTGTATAACATACAAAGTTATTTAATGTTCACAGTAATTCCAATAAGGTGTTATTAAACCTATTTGGTAGATGAGAATACAGACTATAAACCTATATCTGTATGTAATCAGTAAATGTTTACTAAAGGAATAGAACATTTACCAGAAAATCCTTATTCAGTCCTAGTTCCTAAACTCCCCTCCTATTTAATCACAGTTAAAAAAAATGTTAAATACAAAATATTTATTATGTCAATCACTTTCCATTTATCTTAGGATAAAATCCGAAATCCTTAAAAAGGCTTACAGGCTTTGAATAATTTGGTCCCTTTTAAGTTTCAACCACATTCCCATCATCCCCTTTCTACAGACGTTTATTAGAAATGCAGTGTTATCATAAAGAAGGTTAAGGTAATGGTGTGATTTCATTTCTACTGAAATTTTTTTGACCACAATCTATAATAAGAAATAAACTTTGTATTGTGAACTAAGTATATACACACATATATATAAGAATTTTATATATTTATATTTAAGATTTTTAAATTTCATATTTACTGTTATTATGCACAATGTACTCTTGATATTTAATATTATATATATACATATGTATTTATTGGATTACTACTCACTAAATGAATTTTATGACTCATGATCTGCTACCTGCTGTTTATAAAACATTTTTCTACTTCACTTGTAACAGTAATATTGAGGGGGCAGGGGCCAGGATGTGGACTATCCTCCCTTCCCGACAGAAGGAAAAAGGGTAAGGAAAGACTCTGAGGCAAGTGAGAGCATGAGCCTTTTTCATCAGTCCTTTCTGACACTTCACATCTCCTTTTCAGAGTCACTTCCTTAGAAATGTCTTCTCTATCCACCCCCTAGACTAGGTCAGGTCTCCCAATTATATCCCCTAGTTTCTTAATACCCATCTTCCCTTGTAGTAGTTCAAGCATATATTATCAAACTGGAACATATGGTCACTCATGCTTTGAGTTCCTCCCTGAGGGGAAATAAAAGATGCCTACTTCCTTCACTCTTTTATATCTAGAACATATGGCTAGAAGTTCAGTAATGTGGTAACCTACTATATTAAGATCGGAGTCCTGGTTTCTGCCACACTGATTCTATTGTTTATGATCTAAATGAAGTTCTGTAGCAATGGAAAGGCTGTGGAGATTCCTTTCTGTATGGACCCCTTAGAGCTTTCTTGCTCACTCTTTTTCTTCTGAGAAATGCCCACGGAGTTTCAGTGTCTGCCTCCATGGCCTAGTGCATCGTCCTTTTCAAGAAGTCTACCTCAAGCCCTTAGATTCTTCCTAAAGGTCTAAAGCATCTGCAAAGGTTGCAGGAATCATCTTGGCTAGTGACCCAATTTTAAGGGTATAGGCAAGCCCTAGAATTACTGAGCATTTTTATGCTCCAGGCACTATGGGAAATGATTTAAAGGCCTGAGCCCTCGCAGTTTAATTGCTTTACTGCCAATGAGACAGAATGTGCTCACACAGCTTTCTTTTGGCCTCGGTTGAAGATAAAATGCTGGTTATCAGTTGAGCAATTAGCAAAATATAGAATACATTGCGAGTGTATCTAGATTTTTAAAAAATCAATTTAAACACTAATTAAGAGGATTATGATTAAGAGAGCCCATACTAGGTTGGATATTATAAAATAGAAACTGATTATTACGTGATAAATAGGATGTAATTATTCACATGACAGTCACACATTTTTTTTTTATTACTGGCATTTTACCCTCAACAACCTCCAAGATAGGGAAGTTAAAACATTGGTGGAAGGTCTAGTCTAATACTATATTCAATCAGAAAGAAACCCAATCTCAAATCCTCTAGCTCATATGCTTAATTAATTTGGACTCTTTAAACATTAAGAAAATCTAATACACACATACACACACTACAAAATGTCTCAATCTTTGAATTGTAAGAAATGCTCCTAAAAATTCATATGGAAACACCAAAGACCCCAAATAGCCAAAGCAATCCTGAGAAGGAAGAATAAAGTGGTTGGCGGGGGGGAATCTCGCTCCCCAACTTCAAGCTCCACTACAAAGCCATAGTAATCAAAACAATTTGGTACTGGCACAAGAACAGAGCCACAGACCAATGGAACAGAATAGAGACTCCAGACATTAACCCAAACATATATGGTCAATTAATATACGATAAAGGAGCCATGGACATACAATGGGGAAATGACAGTCTCTTCAACAGTTGGTGCTGGCAAAACTGGACAGCTACATGTAAGAGAATGAAACTGGATCACTGTCTAAGTCCATACACAAAAGTAAATTCAAAATGGATCAAAGACCTGAATGTAAGTCATGAAACCGTAACAATCTTAGAAAAAAGCATAGGCAAAAATCTCTTGGACATAAACATGAGCAACTTCTTCATGAACATATCTCCCCGGGCAAGGGAAACAAAAGCAA